AGAGAAGTAATATATGAACAACGAGAGCGAGTGTTTTACCGGGATATCCAAACACGAGAAAACAATGTATGAAAACACGAGCGCGAAGCGCGAGTGTTTTCATACATTGTTTTCGAGAGTCCGCTAGCTGATATGTACCCCCTTCCGCGGAATTGGACCCCCTAAAATTCACAAAAAGAAGAAGTTTTGAAACGAGTGCAGTTGAATATGCATAGGCGTCAGTTTAGTTTAAATTATGATAACTAATGGCATGACTCAACTATCTTGGAATTTGCTTAATGACAAAAACAAGTTATTGAGATGCTAATTTTATAAAGGTTTAGCGTTGAATGGAATGCATCATTTTGTTATGGGTATGTTAATTAAGGCAAAAACAATTTGAAATATATTTTCATTTTCCGTCTTTATTTGAGCAGTTAAGAGTCAGAGCAGATAGCAATTCCAAGGAGTAATGTACTTGTGAAGGTTTCATGCGCTTCTCAGTTCTCGTACATTCCAAGATCAAAGAAATAAACCCATGTAGCAGAAAAATTATAAATCATAAACTTTGACGAAATTCTCTAATCTAAAAATCTAAGATTTGATGATCTAAAAATCTCCGTACGGTTTTTAAAATAAATCAGATGAGATTTATGACGATTTAAAACGCTTTCAGTGCGGCAATATTCAAAATACAATACGTTGCAATGATAAAATATGCGAGGGGTCCAAATTCGCTAGGGGAGTCCAAATCCGCTAGCGAATAAAGATCCCCATAGGTCCATATTCGCTAGCGGATATGGACTCTCCGGTCCATATTCGCTAGCGGATTTGGACCGGGGGGTGATTTTGAGGGGGCTCCAAATCTGCTGGGACACGGTGAGACACGAGCTCGAGTTGTTTATGTGGCTTCTCAAATGAATCGAGACGTAACAGAATGTTTTCGTTTGCTGATTTGAATAGAATTCTTAACCAGACCTAACCAAGCATAACGTAATTACTAATTAGGAATTCTATTCAAGTAATTTTGCATGCGTAATTAAGATATTTGACGAAAACACTAGTGACTTTCATGAAATATATCTAATTACGTATGCAGCTAAACTCTTAAAAAGTTACTCGTAAAATAAAAAGTTGCCAAAAGTTGCCGAGCAACTGTGGAAACCCTTAATTTGACCGCGGTATCCAAATATGATCTTGTGACGAATGCTTACATGACTTACATGCTATTGGTTGAATTACTCATGAATTATTAATGAATTTGAGAAATGTTTTTCTTGATCAAACTTTTGCTGATCCTAAAAGTCAGAAAAATTTCTAATAACCTCAAATATCAGTTAAAAATAAATACCCACCCCTGCGTTCCTTCGCCCAGCGGCTACGCTCGCGGTTCCAAGATCCGCCATAGTGTAAAGTGTAGTGAAATGTATCTCATCGTAATATTAAATCTTAAGAAAACTAAAGCCTCTGCGGAAGAGAGAGCACCTCTGGCCAAAAACTTTACAAAAGGGTGCACGTATCCTTTACCACTTCTGTGACACGAGTTTGATAAATGCCTGTGCAATTTTCTGCAGTCTAAAGTTTCATGTTGTCTGCACATGTACTTTCTTTGGAGACACCATTTGCCTCTTGTCAAATTGCAGAATTTGTGTGTGACCTACCCGTTCAACCCATGGTACAGCAGGGCCTGTGGAGAAGGCAGTATTTGAAGTAGATCATGGACCTGGGGACAAAGACGAATACAAGCCTTTTCTTAACTATTTTCAGTGTGTAAGAAAATAAGATCATTAGTGCAAGCTTAAAATTAATTTAGTGTTTTATTAAATAACATCTTTTTGGAGTATAACCGTATATTCAAGTTATTTTAGGTCAAAATCTAAGAACTAAATCAGGCAAATTCAGGCGAAATGAAAAACGTCGTGAAGGAATACAACGAAACAACATGACAAAAATATTGGACCCAGTGGCGTAACCAGCTGGATAATTTGGGGGCCCATATTCATATATTCGTGATTTTGATCCGCCATGTTGTTTTTAATTCTGCAAGTTGCACGCATGCGCAAATTTCCTATTCAGGCGCGCTTGTCGTTTGCTCGCCGCACACGAGAATTCTTTTGTCACGAATGACGAAAAATATCAAACATGTTTGATATTTAGTTTACATGTCACGAATGACGAAAATGCCGTAAATGTTGCCCGCACACGAGGAAATTTTGTCGATCCAACTTGTCACGAATAACAAGTACGCACGACAAGTGCGCTCGTGTGCGGCGGGCTTAAGAAAAAAGTGGATAGGAGACAGCTGACGCCAGTGGACATGAGCTATTTGAAATTCGTGATGTCAAGAATACAAGACGAGTAAATTGGT